GAGTGGCAATAGGGATTGGTGGGGACTGTCACAAAAGGGGAGACTCATTTGCAGTCAGGAGAAAGTGTGGACTTCATAATTCTAGGTCTTCAAAATTTGACCAAAACTCCATTTATTTCCAGACCAACTTCAGATTTTTAACCTCTGGAGATTAATCCAGATTGCCCCAAATACCCTCTCCGTGAACATACCACGCCAAGGCCAAATGTGGCCGCAGATCTGCTGGTGTGTTACCAGTGGCCTCGAGGTCTTAGGATGGAAATCAGTGATGACTGCACTGAGACTCAGTTTAAAAAAAAAAAAAAAAAAAAAACTCACTGGAGCAGGAAAGGGGAAACCACAGAACAGCATGGACCTCCAAACCTCTGAAATTGCGGGACGTTATGGTGGATCCTAACTCCAGTAGGACTGGTATCCTTGTAAGGAGACATTTAGAAAGACTTAAGAGACCTCGACCTCGAGGGTGTAGAGGAAAGGCCGTGTGAGGACACCAGGGGTAGCAGTCCATCTGCAAGTCAAGATCAGAGGCTGCAGAAGAGACCAAACTGGCCAAACGCTCAACCTTGAACTTGCAGCTTCAAGACCTGTTACAAGATACACTTGCTTACATTCCTCCCTCTGTGGAATTATGTCATGGACGTCCTACCAAACAGTGTTCTTGCTTGCAGAGTCACATTTACTTCAGAACGGGTGTTGTTTGCTTGTTTGTTTTGCCCGTATGTTCAGTGAGGGCTGGCTGGTCGCTGAAATGGAAGGAAGTTAAAGGCACGGACCACGACTTCACTAGAGGCACCTAAAGAAGCTTCCTTTTCATGTCTTGCTAATTGAATTATTGCTGTAGCCAAATACCTTTTGGCAACAATTCGAACGGAGGTGAGGTCAACGTTGGCTCCTCGCCTGAAGGGACATAGCGGTGAAGGCACGGTGCCTAGAATGGAAGGTGGCTGCGGAGGTCCAAGTGTGAGGCTGGCGGTGGCTCACATCTGGGTAGACCAGGAAGCAGCAGTGGGTCGGGAAGCAGGGCTGGGTTATAGACTGCAAGGCTTAGCCCACTTGGTGAGCCTTCTACTCCACTGGGTCTTCTAAAGGTTCCTCAACTTCCCTAAATGGCACTAACATTCAGGGACAGAGTGTTTGAACATATGAGCCTGTGGAGAACATTTTACATCTAAACAATGTGTGTGTGTGTGTGTGTGTGTGTGTGTGTTCACGCACGCACACTCCTTTAGTTCACAGCACAGTCACGAGACGACTTACCCTCATCTTACTTGGGACCTCACCATACCTGCTTGCTCAAAGCTGGCACGAGAGTGGAATTTAAACACTCATTACGTGATCTCTGTGTTCTGCTCGCAGCGTGTGAGCCATATTGAGCGATTTCCTCCCACGTGAAAACCCTTCTCCGTGGTCCGTGGAGCCCTTGGCGTTACTGACACGTTAACTGCTCTGAATAGAAGGCTGGACGGAGGTTCCTGAGCTTAGATGCTTACTAGACAATCAATCATCCGTGAGAACAAGGGAAGGAGCCTCCCTAGTGTGGAAAGGGTCCCAGCCCAGTCTGCAGTTTTCTATATTTGGAGAAACAACAATGCTGGCTGTCACCCTGGGAAGAAAGAGGATTCTCTCATCAAAAAGAGGAACCGTAGGCAAACATGGCGAGAAACCCCAGGGGTATAAACACCTATTATGGGTAATTAGCGTCCTCTGTTTCTTAAGAAAGGAATTCTTTTTTCTTGACCAAGTGTACCCCTTCTCCTTTTTAGAGAGATTATTTTGAGGCAGGAATGGATAGATTCTCACCCTGTCTCTAAGGGCTGAGAGTGTGGAGTGATATGGGCTAACCCCCAATTCCACTCAGCAAGCACTGGCGATAAAGACAAGGCCATGGCGCTTGTCCTCTGTATGTGCAGAGCCACCAGGTGAGCCGCGCTCCATCCATTCACGCACGCATGATGTGGAACACTTACACTTCACCCCCTATACTGAAGAAGGAAAAAACCCTCTCTAATTCAATGTGATAAGCATCCAGACAGAGGAGTAGAAAATCTTACAGTGGCAGGGGCTACAGAGAACGTGCTTCACACAAAACAAATGAAACAAAAGCCAAAGCAACACATGGCATACCAGAACGGCAGAGTCCCTCACTGAGTCAATGCTCACTCCTGTACTGACCGTGGTGTCTTAATCTTGGTAGCAGAAAATCTTAACAGCGCTGTAACATCTGATATTTATTGTGCAGACAAAGAAATGAGAGATTCTTAATCGTCAAGGTACCTGCCTAAAGTCACAGCCAGTCCCCACATATTGGCTGTCTGGTTATCGGCAGTGTGATTTGTCTCTCGGTCTTCCTCTTTGAGCTTGCCTGTATAAAAACACCAAACCAAACCAACAACAAAACACAGCAAAACCCCAGGAATTTATTTTATTTCTGAGACAGGGTTACGCTATGTAGCCCTTGCTGTCGAGGAACTATGTAGACCCAAGCTGGCTCGAACTCACTAAGACCTACTAGACACGTGGGACGTGTGCTGAGAGACACTGAGGAGGAAGTAGAAGGTGTTTGGGGATCATGCAGACCACAAGGTGTCCATGGGCAGAGAAGGAGGGTAGCCAGGTGAGGGGGAAGACTTTCAGGCCACACTGCAGTGGGTCATCTGGTGACTGTGGCTGCGTATGTGTGTGTCTTTCTTCGCTACCAGCGTAATTGCTGAGGGAAAGCTCCATGTGGGGAACGTGCCACCTTCATTGCCGTTCTTCGCCAGTGGCACAGTGCCTGGCACGCAGTAGGTGCTTAGTAAATGTCTGCTGTGCTTATAGGAGTCCAAGGACTGTTTTTCTTCTGTCTCTGCGCTTCAAATCTTATCAAAAATCGCCATGCAAATCATCTTCCATATACATTAGCGGAGAAAAGGAACTTGTTTTCGAAAGCAGCTGTTTTGTTCATAATTGTGCTACTTATATCAATTTAATATTTATGAAAACCGAAAATCATACTCAGGATTATGGCCTCACAGGCTATAAATGGTTCTTCTTTTGTGTTATACTTGTATACATATTTGTGCGTGTGTGCACATGCATGTGCATGCATGTGTGTATGTGGGCATGCATGCCAGAGTGGAGGTCGGGTTGATTTTGAGTGTACTCTTCAATTTCTATCCACTTTATTCTTTGCTTGTTTGCTTATAAATATCACTGAGAGAGAGAGAGAGAGAGAGAGAGAGAGAGAGAGAGAGAGAGGGAGGGAGAGAGAGAGAGAGAGNGAGAGAGAGAGAGAGAGAGAGAGAGAGAGAGAGAGAGAGAGAGGGAGGGAGAGAGAGAGAGAGAGCGAGCCCACACACGTGTGTGCTTGCCACTGTGTACGTGTGAAGTCAGGAGGGCAATCTTTAGGACTTGGTTCTCTTCTTCCACCATGGGACTTGGGGTTTGAACTCAAGTCTTCAGGCTTGCCTGGCAAGGACTTTTCCCTTCTGAGGCTCCTTGTCTGCCTTATTTTTGAGGCAGAGTCTTCAATGAACCTGGAGCTCACCAATTTGTCTAGGTCGCCTTTACCTCCTACCTCAGCATTGGGTTACAGACATGTACTCCAGGGCTTAGATTTTTATATGGGTGCTGGGAACCCACATTTGTCTCCTCATGCTTGTATGGCAAACACTTTACTGACTGAGCCATCTTGTCAGCTCTCCAAAAACCTCTTTTCATAATTGACAGTGCTGTTTGCTCAATTACTTTTGTTGCTTTAGAACAGTGGTGCTCAGCCTTCCTGATGCTGTGACCCTTTAATACAGTTCCTCATGTTGTGGTGACCCCAACCATAAAATTATCTTCATTGCCGCTTCATATCTATAATTTTGTTACTGTTATGAATCATAATATAAATATAATATTCATGATATCTGATATGCAACCCCATGAGAGGGTCATGACCCACAGGTTGAGAAGGTAATTATGAGGACACACCATCCCTCGAACCTACAAAAGTCAGTGAAAATTATCTGCAGTGGATTTAAAATAAAGGTTTTGTGACCCAAATGATCGGGTCATGCCATGTGGTGGTCCCATTTTTCTTTCAGCAGGAACACAGTACAGCGTATTTATTGTTGAGGACACAGAATCAGAATCTGGGCTTGCAAACCTTCTCATATGAAACTTTCTCCTCTATAAAGGGCATGAGGGCAACATCGTGTTTGTATGAATTTTTTAAAATATTTATTTATTATGTATATAGTGTTTATTTATTTATTACACATACAGTGTCCTGCCTGCACACCAGAAGAGGACACCAGATCTCATTACAGATGGTTGTGAGCCACCATGTAGATGCTGGGAATTGAACTCAGGACCTCTGAAAGAGCAGTCAGTGCTCTTAACCACTGAGCCATCTCTCCAGCACTGTATTTATACTAAATTTAAAGCCTGGCCATGGTGGTACACACCTTTAATCCCAGTACTTGGGAGGCAGAGGCAGACAGATTTCTATGAGTTCGAAGCCAGCCTGGTCTACAAGAGCGAGTTCCAGGACAGGTTCCAAAGCTACAGTGAAACAGTCTCGAAAAAGCACAAAATAAATTTTTTTAAAAAAAAAAAGAGAGAAAGAAAGAAAAAAATTTAAGAGACCTTTCCCCTTTTGCCTATAAGGTCTCACTCTGCAGTCCAGGCTGCAATCACACTTGCTATGTTCATCGGGTTTGCACTTGAGACGATCCTGTCCCCGTGCCCCATGCTGGAGTGACTGACAGGTGTTTACCGCCAACTCCAGAAGGTCTGAATGACTTGGTGCTATGGAAACCCGACACAATATCAGAACCTTAGTCATTTCAGCCACTATTGTCTCCTTTAATAATGATGATGATGATAGTAACTTTTAAAATACAAGATGCGCCCTTCTGTAGGTTTTCTTCCTCTTGTTCCTTGGCAACTTCTTTTTCTTTCTTTTACTTTGTGCATTTTCCCGCACCTTGAATACTGGCTTTTATTCTTCATTTATTCTTTTTTTGATGCAGAAAAATCGATGGGACCAATGAAGAAGAAGAAGATACCATTGAGCTGAATGAAGACGGAAGGCCCGTGCAGACACCAAGGCCACGCCTCCCAGTCTGTGACTGCGGCTGCTGTGGCATCCCCAAGCGGTACATCATCGCCATCATGAGTGGCCTGGGATTCTGTATTTCCTTTGGCATTCGGTGCAACCTTGGAGTGGCCATTGTGGAAATGGTCAACAACAGCACCGTGTACGTGGATGGGAAACCGGAAATTCAGGTTGGTACGGAGCTAAAGCGAAAGGGTATACGTGTGTGCGCGCTTGCGTGCGGGCATGTGTACGTACGTACATGTGTGCGTGCGTACATGCGTGAGTGCATGCATGCGTGTATGTGTGTGACAGTTGTGTAAAGGTGAAGAGGACAATTCATTGGTGTAACAAACACGTGGAGTGACAGCCTCATACTGGGTCCTGGACATGGCAATAGAGATAGAACGCTGAATAACGCCGAGAGGGACCTTGAGCTCCAGGAGATGGACAGTCTAAGTGACAACGTGGTGTGCCAGTTGCTGGGTCAGTATGGCTTCATTAGACTCTTGGGCTCCTGTAGGAGTGAGCATACCACGATTTTGGTGTTGTGACTTTTCAGAGAAAGTGATGGCTGAACCTGACAGAGATTTGGTGGGGTAGAAAGAATATTGGAAGAAGAATGACCACTGTCTGTAAAGGTCTGCAAGGGAGACAGATAAGACAGATCATGGTATGCTGGGAAGCGAGACATGAGGCTTTTCTGTGCTATAAACCCCTTTGAACTCTGTGAACAACCTGGTGAACCATTGATCAAAGCTAATGTCTGAAATTCTTAGCGTAATAGACAAAGGATTCTAAAGACAGGAAATTATATTGAAGTGTAGAAGAACATATTTAAAAATCAAATTTATGGTATAGATGCATGGGCTTCCTTACTAGTACATCAGATAGCAGAACCTAGCAAAGCTCCTGAAGTCGCTATAATTTTAATGGACATATAAGCAACAGTTTATGATCCTGATAACAACTATAATATAATTTGAACATGTTTCTGGCTGTCACTCACGTCACAATAGTAGGACTGATTTTACCATGTTTTTACACCGTGTTTATAGTTGCAGAAACTGAATTGCAGTCAGCAGACAGTGAAGATAAAAACACTAACTTTTCTGTGGTTTATTAGACCCCGTGACTGCGACTTCACCACTGACATGGAATTCCAGGGGAAAGGCCTGTTCTAGAGATGCAAACCAAAGCAACTCACCCCAGAATATTCTATTCCAAAGTTTTACCCTAGATATCATACAAATCAAGAAATTGTTTTGCAAAGTATTTTCATGAATGCAAACTCTTATTAAAAATATTATATATTAAAATAAAAAACCCTCACTTTCCCCCCATCTAAGTTTATAGAAACACTGGATTCTTCCGCATATCCCAGAATCATTTCTGCCTGATGGAAAGAGGCCTGGTGAACACTCTCAGGCTGGTTGTGTCGTGGGAAGCATTGATGTTATTCCATAAACTGTTTTATGCACACTGGAAACATAAACCTAGTTTTATTTAACCTAGGTAGGTAGAAGAGATGGCTCAGTGGTTAAGAGCACTGCCTGCTCTTCTAAAGGTCCTGAGTTCAATTCCCAGCAACCACATGATGGCTCACAACCATCTGTAATGAGATCTGGTGCCCTCTAGAGGAAGAGACCTGATCAGTTGTCCTCATCCACTTAGACCATGAAACCCAATATGGACAAGTTCGAGTTCAACAGAACCACCATATATGGGCTGCCCATGCATGCTTCAGCATTGCCAGGGCATAAATTTCACTTTTGAAAAAAAAAAGACCTCATAAATGATGCTCATAAATTATGTGATGAATAATTGAAAATGTGTCCCTGGAGACAGCCCCATAACTGTCTGCCTCACTGATCTGAATGTGGGTACAAGTGACTGTGGGAGAGAATGGTCCTCCTCAGAGAGGCCCCTGGTGGTTCTCTGGATGTCTGTGTTTGGATTCTATGTTACACCTGAGTTTCCATGTTGGGGTCTGGGAAACCATGATGTTGCTTGGCATCACTGTGTATGCGAAGCCTGGACTGTTTCTGAGTGCTGTGTGACCCCGAGGCAGGGTCATGGAGGTACTATTTCCTTAGCTGACAGCCTGGCAGTCTTATTTTTGATGCCACATCCGTTAGCATCACCTGGAACAGTCTTTTGCTGAGGACTGGCTTGGTTCACGGAAAAGAGGTCTTCAGCCGGCACGCAGGCTTTCCCCTTTCTTCCTAAGAGATTGTTCTGCCGGAGCAGAGCAACACCATGGAGATGTATTAGCTGGATTTATGCCCCGGCTGAGTCTGTCTGAGAAAGATATTCTGTTCACTGGGGGAATGGTGGTCGAGGGGGAGGTGAGACAGAGGGAGAGAAGCCTTCGATGCTTTCAGAAAGGAACACCGGTGGGGCTTCAGATGTGTGTCACTTGTGTCTCCTCAGTCTTTTGTGAGCAAGGCTAGCTGATTAGAACTTGCCTACTGAGGCACAAATCAAAATGAGATGCTGTTAGCGTTTGTCACCTGCAAAGCCAATCGGTCAATAGAGCCCGAGAAATTAGGGCAGAGAAGAGACTCTTTGATAAAAATGAAGGAGCAATGTTCCGTGGGCTCGCCAGTTTCTACGATGTTGCTTAGAAGATCTGATTAGGATATAAACCCTGCTCTGTATCATTCTGCCTGGCATCAAGAGCAGGAGTTGAGGAACTAGGCATGGTGGCTTATGCCTATAATCAGCAGAAGACCAAGGCAGAGGCGCAGGATTGAGTTCAAGGCCATCTTGAGCTAAGTAGTGAGTTCAAAGACCAACTAGGTTACAGAACAAGACCCTGTCTCAAACTAACCAAAGAAGAAGGAGGGGGGGGGGGAGGAAAAATCGAATCCTCCAATAGGACCTCATACAATAATAATCCACTTGATAACAAAAATAAAAGCCTCACCCGAAACAGAACAGTGAATGAACATGCTCTAGTGAGCAAAGCTGATTTATGGCAAGCTGTTCTCCCCACACAGAACAAGTTAGGTATCAGCTGGGTGTGACCAGCACAGTGACAATGCACTGAACGGTTGGCATTGCTGTCTCTGTGTTTTGCTTCATGGGAAAGCATGAGTATTTTGCACAGATATTTTTGGAAACCTCAATTGTGGGGCAGGGTAAATGCCACGGGCAGGTTAAGTCTTTCGAATACCCGTGTGACGTGCTATCTACAAGTGACATAAAGGACGATTTAGCTGACGTGTGGACAGTCACATGTTAGTTAGTTCAGCATCATGAGTTGCTGTTAAGTTGCCGCTCAGTGGAAGAGCATGCACTTAGCGTAGGTGAAGCCCCGGATTCAACCCTTGGAACATCTCCCCGGCAAACTTAGAAGTTAGAGCGTTCATAGCCCTTAGTATCTGGCATATGGTAAGGAAAAAAAAAACAACTGAAGGCTGAGAAATTCTCAGCAACTGTTTCTCAGGACTCACGAGGCTCGCAAGGTTTCAATGATGGACTTCAGGATTGACTGATCCTTAATAAATTGATAAATCAAAGCCGCTTTTATACTTAATTGATTATTAGCTCTTGGGTCTTGGAAAAGATGTCCTGTGTCCTTCCTGGTCAGGGATCGCTGGTTGCAAACAGCAGAAGTTCAGTGAGAACAATTCATATTAACAAGGGGATGACAGACGACTCAAGTGGAATTCCATGAAAGCGAAGTACATTGGCTGGGGAAGTCCCTGTAGACGCGCCACTTTGGGATTAGGAATCTGAGGTCCAGGATGTCCTCTCCCAAGGGAGCAAAGACATCTCAGGTAATTCTTGAGACAAGGATACAGTCACTATGGGACATAGACTATTTTACCCCAAGGGAACTGGAAAGGTCTCCAGCTTGTGGGCCTCAGAGGCTCTCACCTGCTTCTCCCAACCTGCCTCAGTTTCCCATATTTCCCGACAGACTACCTTCTGTCTTTTACCATGGCTTCGCCCTGTCCTCACAACTGAATCCTGTGGTCCCATGGTGTGGTTCTCTTTTTTGGTGTTTATTAGCCGTGATAGACAGAGGGATGTATTCTGTGATGAGGGAGACAGAATGCTCCCGGAAGGAGGGTAACAGGGAGACACAAGGCAGCATTTCTAGCAACCTTTTGCTGACCCTCGTGGACCTTATTAAAATGGGATATATATATGGTTAGAAGTTGCAGTCTGCTTTGGCCTGGTAGCTCTCTCCCAGCTTGCCTGGCAACATGGTTGACTGCCTTCCCCTTCTCCCCCAGAATGCACCCTGCTCTCTACCTGACCTTATTTGGAGACTGTCCTAGGCCCAGATACCTGGCTTATCTCTAGCGTGACTCTGGACGCAGTTCTCTGCAGAAGCTTTTCCCCACTGCTGCCCATATGGTAATTAGACACTGTGCTAGGAACGTTCCAATAGGACCATGCTTCTACAGATGATAGCTAAGACTGTCCTAGGAGCTTTCTGATAGGAGCGTGTTCTTTAATGCAAACCAGCTACCATCCCAATCCTATCTATTTTCTGTACTCCAGACTGAAGCTGAGCAGACTCACTGAAGCTGTCTCCTGGAGGGCTCTCTTAGTCGTACTCACGGACTGCACAAGGCCCTGTTTACCTCTTCTGCCTCCATGGCCTGGTGGCCAGTGGACCATGGGGGAGGAGGGGACTGCTTGGGAATCAAATAAGATGCTTTCAATTAAGCACCCATGTAAGCGTCCTAGGACAGCCATCACCTGCAACTTGACATCTTAAAACAACACACATTCATTCTCTCATAGTTGTGGGGAGACTAGAAGTCTGAAGCCAAAGGGTTGGCAGGACCTCACGTCTCCACATCCCTAGCAGAGAATATCTCCTTGTTTTGTGATCTCTGGTGGTAGCAGGAGCTCTCGGGCTTGTGACCGAATCACCCAACCACTGCCTTCATCTTCAGAGACCCCCCCCTGCCATGTTTCTTTTCTTTTGACTCACATTCCCCTCTGCCTCTCCCCCACAACCCCCTCCTTTTAAGGACTCTTGTCTTTGGATTGAGGGTTAAGCAGGATAATTCTGGATATTTCATTTCAAGACTCTTGGCCTATTCACATTTGCACCTGTTTTCCACCTAAGGGAGCATTTTCAGGTGGCGAATCTTTGATAGTGTTGGCTTTTGGGGTAGAGGAAGTGCCCTACCTCTAAGCTGTATTTCTTGCCTTTATTTTACTCTATACTGGAGACGGGGTCTCACTAAGTTGCCCAGGCTAGCCTTGAGTTCACTCGGTAGTCTAAGTCCTGAGCTTGATTCCCTTGCTTCAGTCTCCTCAGTCACTGTGACTATAGGCCTGTGCCCGCTGGTTCAGCTGAGAGCAACTCTCTTGATAAAAATTGAAGTGTAGGATGCATCGTCATTGAGTGTAGGTGAGTGTTGATCCCCAAAGCTCATTTACTGGCTTGAGGGAAATATTTTATCCATTGATTGATAACCCCCCATTCCCCGCTCCCCCGAGTCTCTGACAAATCGCTGTCCACTCTTTAATTCTATTAATATGCTTATCTCAGACACTTCCTCTAGGTGGAGCCGTACAGGATTTCTCTTTCCGTGACTGGCTTATTCCTGTCTTCCAGGCTGTTGAATATTACATAATGTCTTCTTTCCACTGGAATACATGACACTCTGTTCAAATTCCGGTGTCATCCAGGTTGTTTCCGAATCTCAGATGTCACGAACAGGAGAATACAGATGTCTTTGAGATTCTGATATCTTTTGGAGACACACTTCACCGCACAAATGTTGAGTCACATTTTTAGCATTTTTTAAGTTTGTGGGGAAATTCCATACTATTTTTCATGAGTGACTGCACCTGCCACATTCCCATCAGCAACACAGAACATTTCATCCTTCACGTCTTCACCAATTCTCTTTCACCTCCTCTTTTTACACACACGCATGCACACACACACACGCACACCCCCCACGCACACACACGCACGCACGCACACACACATGCACACACACGCACACACACACACCCCACCCCCCCACACACGCACACACACACGCACACACCCTTGGGGCCTTATACACACCATCCTGACAAATATGATGAGATGATTGTGTTTTCCTGAACGCTAGTGATATTTGCAATTCCCCAGTGGTTATCTGTATGGCTGTTGGCCATTTGATAAAGTTTCTGTTTCAACTGCTTCACCCCTATTATTCAGGGGGGCTCAGGCGATGCTCAGAGTCACTTCTCAGTGCTCTTTGACAGGTCTCAGTTCATTCACAGACCATCTGCTCAGAGAAAAGTGTTGGAAGGAGATGGTGGCTCGGACATTTAACAGCTGGATGGTAGAACTGAGATTCAGCTAGGCATCGTATGCATGCCTATAATCCCTGTACTTGGGAGGTAAGGCTGGGGAATCACAAGTTTGAGGCCAGCCTGGGTTACATAATGAGACCCCATCTCAAAACAATGACAAAACGAAGTATTTGTTTGTTTATTATTTATCCTGGGGATTAAATCTGGGGCCGCAGACAGCAAGGTAGTCACTCTGAGCTACCTCCCCAGCAAATACATTTGGTAATACAGTGCTAACTTCTTTTTCTATTTTCGAGATTGAGTGCTTTAGCCATTAAACTACATCTGCAGCTCTTAAAAATATTAAAAAGAATGAGGAAAGGTAAAAGGACTTGAGAGACCTGAGACTGTAATTATCGGTAGGCTCTCACCACCCTGACATCTGAGCAAAGCCCAGAACTCGTCTCTTGCTTCCTTCACAGCCTGTTTGTTTTCTCCTTAGCACACACGGCTGTTTTACACGTCACATTTTACACATGTGTGAGTGTGTGCTTACATTTGTGCATCTCTTCCCTCTCCCTGGAAGGTAAGTTTGTAAGACCGGGGACCCTTTACTTCACGTTCCCACCACTGTAACCGAAGTAGTCATGGCGTCTTCTAGAAATTTCTGCTGAGAAAGGAAGACATCATGGCGCTGTCACAGGCTGACAAATGGTGTCGGTTGTCCCTTAACAAAACACAACCGCATCTGATTCTTGATTTCAGGTGGCACAGTTTAACTGGGACCCGGAGACAGTGGGCCTTATCCACGGATCTTTCTTCTGGGGTTATATTGTGACACAAATTCCCGGTGGCTTCATTTCAAACAAGTTTGCCGCTAACAGGTAAGAGCAGTGGACACGATAGTACTGCGGAGGCGATAATGGGGTCTTGTGCCTAAATCACACCTGTGTGCTTGTTCTCAGCATAAGGGTGGAGCGTGGAGAACAGGAGCCATGAAGGCAGATGCGATTCAGAGACACTGATCCCAAATGGTGCCTTTTTAACCCCCCCCCCCCCCACACACAGTGTAAATTACCTTGTAGCTCATTAAGTGATTCTGTGGTAAAAAGAAAAATTATTTATGGGTCAGGGGAAGTGGGGCTCACTGAATTGCTCTCCTGAGCCACTTCTACCCTACCGGGGGAGTTTTCTCGTCTGAGAAATGAAACATTAGATTAAGTTGTGTTTTGGAGCAGTGGCATCCTCTACTTCCGGGTGTTTATGTCAACACCACAGTAGGAATTCTGTCATGTGAGCACCGAGGACTCACCTTTACACCATAGGATGCTTGTAACATGTAACACGCTTAAATGATCCCACAGTTGTAGGAGGTATAACTCCCCAGAACAGGGTGAGCCATCTGAGAAGGAAGTGTGTTTTCTGTCCCTAAACTTGTTCCCTGTGAAGAATGTGTGTCCATCTCGGGGAGACGCTGTAGACCGAATCATGTTCCAGAAAAAGAGGGAACTAGGTATCCAGGTCCTCCCAATATGTTTGTTGTGAGACATTGCAGAAGTGAACTTCGTGGAGTATATCAAACTTTGCAAGGCTGTTTTTTCCCCCAATCTCTGAAATCGGCACTTACACTGCTGTGAAATCATGTAGCGGTTTACCAATGGGAATCTTATTTGGAAAAGAGAGTAACAGAAAAGAATGTAGCCAAAGAAAATAGAAACAATGAAATGTCTAAATATATTGTTTATGAGAGTAAGCATCAGTTTCCGAAACTGGCCTCATTTACACGCATGTATGTATATAAGTATAGCCTGGACAGTTGTATGAAATGTATACGTATACCACATAAGTATGTGTGTGCGTGCATGTGTGCGTGCACGCAAGTGCAGGCACATGTGTGTAGGAGCCAGAGGTTAATGCCAGGTGCCTTTCTCGATCACACAACCTTAATTTCTTGAGACAGGGTCTCTCACTGAACCTAGAGTTAACTGACTGAACTAGACTACCTGGCCTGCAAGTCCCAGAAATTGTTCTGTCCTGAGCTCTCTGGTGCTGGAGTCATAGGCTCACACTAGGATTGGCTTTTTATGTGGGTTCCGGGGTGTTTGAACTCGGATCCTCAGGCTTGCATTCAAGCACCTTACTCACTGAGGCCTCATCCCCCAAACTTAATAGGAAATGTATTATTAGGGATCAAGGTCAAAGTGCTTGAAAGCCACGGTCATAGGACGTGTGTGTGGGCGTCTACCTCAAAGAAAATTATGAGAGTTGTCCCCAAGCCACAAGCTGGATTGTCAGTACCCTTTGTCAGTACCCTCTTCTTGTCTATTGAGAGCAGAGAGGGAAGCAGGAGACAGCCCCAAACACACAGTAGGAAAGGTCACTTGGATGAACCCAGGCTGGATGCGAGTCTACATGGAATTCACCTCGGCACAGCCGTCCTGTCGCCTTCTAGGGCTCCGAGTATCTATCTCTGTGCTTCCGTGGATGTGAGCACAGATGGTCCATGGACTGGAAGTTGAGAATCAAAGCAGCCCAGGAGACTCTTGGGGACACAGCCGATTATAGTGTACTCTATTTTTGTGAATGAATTTCTCTTCATGTCCATCATGGTCTTGCATGAACCTTTAAGTCGTCTCTTGATGTTTAACTGAAGGATGTTAGCCATTGTTATCCTGTCCAATAATACAGTGCTTTGGTCCCCTAGGGTCTTCGGAGCCGCCATCTTCTTGACATCAACCCTGAACATATTCATCCCTTCTGCAGCCAGGGTCCACTATGGCTGTGTCATGTGTGTGAGGATATTGCAGGGTCTGGTGGAGGTAGGAGAGACATTTTCTTTACAGTTTCCTGCAAGGCCAGAGAAAGCATGGTGCTTTAGAACATTCAGGTCTCAAAGAAAATCCCCTTTTCTCAGTTTTAAGGCTTCTCTATAGGACCCCGTTTTCACAACTTTGAAATCACAGATTGGGTGGGCTGGTTACATTTTAATGTAAAACATATAGGATATATGCTTGCCGGCAGTAATTAAGAATGTATAGTCGGACTCAGTGGCGCAGGCCGGTAATCTCAGTTATTGAAGGGGCTGAGACAGGAGGATCTCAAGTTCCAAGGTTTCCTAGGGGACTTAGGAGGCCCTGTCGCAGAATAAAACTTGAAAGAGCAAAGAGCATAGTAGGTAGAATTCTTGCCTAGCATTTACAAAGCCCTATGCTCAGTCTCACTTACCCTCTACAAGGAAAAAAGACAGAAAAATTTAGATTGCTGTTGGGTCTCCAGTCCAACCTCAGTCCTGTTGGAAGGACTCGTGCTGAATGAACTTTGGTGACTACTGACGTGGCAGAAAGAATGTGAAAGTCGTAGTTGTGACGCCAATGCTAAAACCAGGGTGGTCTTAACGACTCTGAGCATCAGATCCTGTACCCAGAAATGAGGAGACAGATTGGCTGACTGCGGAAGTCACTTCCTATACCCAAATTCTCCAATAACGTGAAACACAGATACGGCATCCATCTTTCTGACTCTCTTCCATACATTACATTAGAGCTAAAGCTTTAAATGTCAGGAGCAGTGTTATGAGTCAAAACCCGTTAAATTTAAAAAGAATGGAAATAATTAAAACCTGTTAGGGTGTCAGTAACATAGCAACACAGACAACAGGTGCTCATCTCTCGTGGTTCTGTAGTCTAGGCAGTCCAAGACCTCTGTGGTCACCATGTTCAGTGACCGACGAGGGCCTGCTTCCTGGGTCGTAGACTGACGGTCCCCTCTGTGTTCTCATGTCACAGGGAAGGCAGCAGTGCTGCAGGGTCTCTCCTGGAAGGGCACTAATTCTATTCACGAGGCCTCCGCCGCTGTGCCCTTCGGATTCCCAATGCCCACATTCAAGCACCGCCACACCAGGGATTGAATTTCAACATAGAGATTTGAGAAGAACAAAGGCTTTGTGTTTGGCCGTGTACACAAACTGTGCTTTTATATTTTAGCTTGTGGGAATCAGCGGCGTTTGCATCTTAAACACAGAAGGGAACTGGAATAACATTTGGTCATCCCTGTCTCATCTTTCTGCCAGGGTGTGACCTACCCAGCCTGCCACGGGATGTGGAGTAAGTGGGCGCCCCCCCTGGAGAGAAGCCGACTGGCCACAACTTCTTTTTGTGGTAAGCGTGTTAGCATCATAAGTTGGTTCAGGATTGCTTTTTGGTTTCAGGTAGCTGAGAAGTCTACCGAGAATCTTCAAAAGAACCTACTTTCCCACGTGACAGAATCCCTAGAGTAAATAGTTGCTGGGGTTAAATCTAAAGCTCACTGAGCTGTCCCAGGCTCTAGGGCTGTGTGTTAAATCACTGGGACCCACATGGTAGAAGAGAACCAGTTCACAGGTTGTCCTCTGACAACCAACCTTGTGCCATGGCTTGTGTGGGCCCTTCATATGCACATCAAATAAACAGGAATATGATAAAATATTTTTGAAGTAGAAGAGATGGGATTACCAAATTCTGCCCCACCCCCTTCATTTTCACATGGAATAAAAAATACAATGCCTTGTGCAAGATTGCCAAGATCTTCGGACCTGGAGCTGAGCTGAGACTGCTTGGCTCAGAATATGGGACTTTTCTTACTACACATAACTACCATGTTGCTACCATCACTGAGGGACCTATTTGTGAGCATTATATTCCAGATAAAAAATGAAACAGGGAGCTGGGCGGTGGTGGCACACGCCTTTAATCCCAGCACTCGGGAGGCAGAGGCAGGCGGATCTCTGTGAGTTCGAGGCCAGCCTGGTCTACGAGAGCTAGTTCTAGGACAGGCTCCAAAGCTACAGAAAAACCCTGTCTCGAAAAAAAAAAAAAATGAAACAGGGTCCATTCATCTTACCTGAAAGCAGACCATAGGTCCCTAAGTAGGGACATGACTTTAATTTTTGGGTATCTGAACTTTATATTGTCAAGGTTCTCTTCTAAGTACGGCTGGGAGGAGTCAGTGTCCTGACAGGTTTATTGTAGAAGGGACCAGCAGAAGAAATGAGAGCCACCAGCACAGTTACAAAATGCATGTAAAATGTATTTTTATAGAGGAAGGGACCCAGGAGGGCAAAAGTACCTTACTCCACAGAAGTTACAGGATGGCCAGGCAGTTGAGATTAGAACTTAGGGGGCCGGAGAGGTGGGCCAGTGGTTAAGAGCACTGCCTACTCTTCCAGAGGACCCAGGTTCAATTCCCAGCATCCACATGACAGCTAACTTCAGTTCTAGTGGATCTAATGCCTTCTTCTGGCCCCCTATGGCACTGGACATACATGTGGTTCATGCTTGTGTAGTAAGCCCTTTGCCCACTGAGCATCTCCGGGCCCTGCTCGACTTTTTCAAGGCAGAGCTTTTTCGAGGCAGAGTTTCACATAGCCCTGTCTGACCTTGACTTCTCAATCCTTCTGTTTCCATCTGCAGAGTGTGGGGATTACCCCGTGTTTCTCCAAGCCCTCCTCCCTGGCTTTTATTCTAGAAGGATATAAAAATACCCACCCCCCCAACTTGGGGTTCATTTTCAATAAACGAGGGAAGACTGAGTTACTGAATGCCAATTACCGTGGCGGTCTGGGCAATCCTTGGATTTTCCATCCTCACCAAAGGAACTGAAACCCTTTCCTTGGTGGGGCTGGTTTGTGAGATCACCGAATTCTCGCCTCACTCCCTCTGTGAGCCGTTACTTTATCAGCACGACCCCACATATCAGATCTTTTTGTTCATAATTAAAGAACCCTTAAAGCTGCTAATTTCTCTCTTTCCGCCTCCTTAGTATTTCCTTGCATAGCTCAGCTGCTTTCTTCAGTTATGAAGATGGTTTGGCACATAAATAGCTGTTTAAATTGTCTGTGGGAACTTGAACTTTGGAGGCTTTTTTGAGACAGGGTTTGGCTATGTAGCCCTGGCTAGCCTCCCAGTCTCCAACTCATAATCCTCCTGCCTATGGTTTCCTAGTGCCGTGACTGCAAGGTATGCACCACTACACCTAACAATCTGACTTGTTTTTAAAATTATAATTTATGTGTGTGTGTGTGCGCCCGTGCGCGCATGTGCATGTATGCCAGGGAATATGTTAAAGTTCTCTCCTGTGGGGTCAGGGGATTGAACTCAGGCAGTTAGGCTTGGTGGCAGTTGCTTTAGCCTGCCATGTCTACCCAGTTCTTTCAACTGTCATGTCTTTCCTAGGATAAGCTGATCAGAACTTCTTCACCAAGGGGAGAAATCAACCCTTTATTAATATGGGTGTTTTTATTTTTTCTTTTAAAAATTATTTATTTTATGTGTATAGCTGTTTTGTCTGCATATATGTTTACATGCCACATGTATGCATGGTGCCTATGGAGACCAGAAGGTGGCAATGGATTGCCTGAGCCTGGAGTGATAGATGGGCTTCAAGCTGCCATGTAGGCACTAGAAATTGAACCAGGGTTCAATCTCTGAAAGAATAGCTAATACACTTAACCTCAAATCCATCTCTCTAACCCAATTAATTCTCTTTCTTATTGTCTCCGTATCTCCTTTAAATCATCATTAGCGTCATAAACTGTTGCCAGGGAGTTTGGTGGGAGACAGTGCCCGAGCCCCTGTTTGCTTCTAGTTCAAAAGAGTGAGATGTCTTTACCTTCCTGTCTGTCCTCTTGATTGCCAGGCTGCAGCTCCACCCTACAAAAGTTACCACCAACCCTGGAGACGGAAGACTGCCCTCTCACCGTGGGTGGTGTGACCCTTGGCCTTCCTATTCTCCGCCGGTTGATTGGCAAGACCTTTCATTTTGATTTGCCAGCAAAATGAGAGTGACTAGTAGCCGCTCCCATTCTCACAGAGGTTTTATAGCCTTAAAAGGGCTGATTTAAACATGGCTCGCCTCAAGGAAAGACACCTGGTCAAGGCCGCAGGCCTTATTATGTTTCCCAGCTAAGGTGTGGCTTTGTTTCAGAGAACAGTCTAAGGAAAATGGAACTAAAAGGAAACTTAAGTTTGAGGTTCATCCATTCTTAATTTGTAAGATAGTGGAGTTGGAAGAGACTAGAAAACACGGGGTCACAGCCCGTTGCTTTAGAGTTGAAAACAGGGAAAAGAGGTGAAATTAACATGTCTAGAGAGAGAGAGAGAGAAGAGAACTCATGAGGGTTAGGGTCTTCGTCCCCTCTGCAGGACACACCACTCCCTGAGGGCTTCACCTGCTCTCAGAGGTCAGTGCATGGGTGCTCGTTAGTGTCCACTCTGCTCCCCCGGGGAACCTGAGGCCGCATATCTGTCTCACTGGGAACAGGCTGAAGGGGCTGCGAGTGCAGGATGGAGATGATGTTAGAGCTCTGACTGAGAAGACAGGGAGTTCCACAGACAGACATGGAGTTCCACAGACAGGGAGGAGTTCCACAGACAGACAGGGAGTTCCACAGACAAGGAGGAGTTCCACAGACAGGGAGGAGTTCCACAGACAGACAGGGAGGAGTTCCACAGACAGGGAGGAGTTCCACAGACAGACAGGGAGTTCCACAGACAGGGAGGAGTTCCACAGACAGGGAGGAGTTCCACAGACAGGGAGGAGTTCCACAGACAGACAGGGAGTTTCACAGACAGGGAGGAGTTCCACAGACAGGGAGGAGTTCCACAGACAGGGAGGAGTTCCACAGACAGACAGGGAGTTCCACAGACAGGGAGGAGTTCCACAGACAGGCAGGGAGTTCCACAGACAGGGAGGCCGATTGGTGAATGAGGCAGGGTTGAAAAACCACAGAAGCCAAGCAGTGGTGGCGCACACCTTTAATCCCAGAGTTTGGGAGGCAGAGGCAGGAGGATCTCTGTGAGTTAGGGGCCAGCCTGGTCTTCAGAGTGAGTTCCAGCACAGCCAGGGCAACACCAAGAAACCCTGGGTTGGGGGGGTGGAGGAGAAAGAAAGAAAAAAGAAAGGAAGAAAAATAAAAAGAAGAAAACCACAAAGTAAGGTCTTCTCTGTGTTTCTATGCGAGTGTCACCATAGGGAACTCACATTTTCCCAGTTTTTTTCCCTATAAAATGGGGAATAATTTTTTTTTAAATCTCCCTCATCAGGTTGAAAGAAGGCAAATAAAAATGACTAGTTCGGGATGGTTGGCCCACCACTTAGCATACAGCATGCATAGTAGCTGGTCCTTATTCTTTCTGACTCTGTCTCAAGCACACCTTTGCATTATGAGAACTTCACCCTACTGCTCCCTGGGGCAAAAGATCGCTCTACACACACTCACACACATACACATGCACACATGCACATACACAATGTTCTCTCTCACACATGCATGAGCATACACACATATGCACACATACACATGTACGCATGCACACACATGTAGATACACATGCTCTCTCACACAGAGTGACACACACATGCCCCTCTCTCACACAAACATGTACACACATGCTCTCTCTCACACGCATGCACACACATGCACAGATGCTCTTTCTCACACATGTCCTCACATACATGCACACACACATGCACACATACACATATTCTCTCTCCTTCACACACAGAGTGAGTAAAGGAAACAGAAACAGAAAGACAGAGAAAGGGAAAAGGATTTCTTTGCTTATCTCTGCTCTGGAGCTTGTTTTATTTCTGTGAAGAATTTTGAGCTTGAAAATCAGTGTGCCTTAGGGCTGGGGTTGTGGCTCACGTGTGAGAGCACCTACTTTGCAGGAAGACCTGGGTTATAATCCCAGTACCACCTGGGAACAGATGTGGTGACACAGCCTACAAACCTGGTAGGTGGAGGCAGGAAGATCAAAGGTTCAAAGTCACCCGTGTGGAGTTCAAGGCCAACCTAGGCTACCCAATAATAACCTGTCTCCATTCTGTAGATAACAAAGGCAGCTGCAGCCAGCCGTTAGAGACCATTTCCAGCTTACAGAGCATCTGACATCACAGCACAGATAGCACCCCAAGAGCAGAGGCGGCCTTCCTATCTCATCTCTGAATGAGTCTACCTGCTTCCTCAGATCTCACAGCCACAGTCCTGGTCCCAGGCCACACCTGTCTTAGGGACCAGGCCGAGTTTAGGCAGGTGCGATAGTTTCCTATTTCCCTACTTTCTGAAGATCTTTCTTGGTGTTGGATTTGGGAGACAGACTTCCTTTTCTGCCGCTCACTGTTCTTAAGGAGAAGTCATCTCATTCATGGCCTGGGAGGATTCAGTTAGTGTTTACTAGGAGTTGACAGGGCCTCTAGTTTCCCTAGCAGCTGTCCAGGGAGACCAGATTACTGCGTCTAGTGCTTACAGCAAGACAGACGTTCTCACAACCTCACAAAGTTCAGAATTCACAAAACAAGAAACATCAATGGACAAAACCACCCCAAGTCTAAGTCTCAGTTGCCATTATTTCTCTTTTCTAGAACCATCAACAGTTCAATCCATAAAACAGGATTATGGCTGCAAAAGTGACAAGCAGGAGAGGGTGGTTCCTGGGCAGAGAAGGGCGACAAAGGGCAGAAGCTGAGAACAAAGTTTAGTGATTTTCCATGCATGGCTGCAGGGCAAAGACCCAGGACAGCAGAGAAATAACCAGTTCCCAGTTAGCATCAGGTGAATCTTTTAGTGTGAAGATCAGCGTAGAGATCCTCAGAAGTCTCTTGTCACACCCTGGAACCCAGCTTGTTATTTTTCCTGGTTTCTAAAAAAATCTGGTAAATAGCTTAGCTTTGCCTTGGTGGTGTAGGACCCTGGGAGTAGTGACTCCATTTTGATTTTAGTCTGTTCTGTTGGGGCCAGTGTGAGAATTAGCATCATCTAAAGCACTGGTCTCCTGTGATGCCTTGTCTTTTCTTCCTTTTATTTTTTTATTTTATTTTTTTTTTTATTGAGACATGGTTTCTTTCTGTAGTTTTGGAGCCTGTCCAGGAGCTTGCTCTGTAGACCAGTCTGGCCTCGATTTTACAGAGATCGCCTGCCTCTGCCTTCCGAGTGCTGGGATTAAAGGGGTGCGTCACCACAGCCCGACTGGTCTAACCGGTCTCCTGTAATTTGTATTCAATAGAAATGATCTTTAAAATGTATCCATTAAGAAGTGGATGGAGAAAAAAGTCCTCCTGCCAGACTGGAATTTTGCTGAGTGGTGTGTGACCGCGGGCGTGGGCGCGTGCGCGTGTGTGCGCATGCGTGTTCTGTTTTTGAAAAGGTTCTGAAACCATCTGGGTGCGGTCCTCTAAAGTAGGCTCCAGATTTCTGTTCTTTCTGCCTTTAGCACCCAGCGCTGTGCCTGGCTGTACTAACTTTTATCTCATACTTTTCTCATCTCCGGGTTCTGTTTGCGCATGGAATTCTAAACTGTGGTACCCAAGAAAACTTGGTCTAATCCCTGGATGTGTCTCTCAGTGAAGTTGAAGAGCATCAGGAATACTCCCCTCTCCAAGACACTCTGTTTTACAACACGCTTGGGGGCTGAGGTTTAGCTCAGTTGCAAGGTTGGGACTTTAGTCCCCTGTCCACTAACATCAGCAATAATGTTCACTGGGAACCCCTGAATGCTGTCACGGAGACATAGGACTTGGACTTAATCACGCACACAGTGCCTAGGCTGGCAAGGCTCGTATAGTGGTTGGTCAGTGTCCCTCAGTTTTTTTCTGCTTCCAGGTTCCTATGCTGGGGCTGTTGTCGCTATGCCCCTGGCGGGAGTATTGGTGCAGTACATTGGCTGGGCCTCTGTCTTTTACATTTACGGTGAGTGATTTGGTTTCATGAGTTGACACACATAGATATATTTTATAATACAAGGTTATTATATAAGGGTTTGCTATGAGAAAATAGAAATACAAGGGTAAGGTCGCTATACAATTGGGAAGCCTGCTTGTGATCAACTTGATACTTACATTAAACTTGGCATTTTAAGCAAGCAGAATAGGGCCGTCCTTTAAATCTTAACCAAGGAAGATAAAAACCAGCAAGATACTTCTCAATGAACATAAATTATTATAAAAATTAGCAACTGTGGAGATCGAAGCAAGTGAGGTCTTGCCACTGAGCCATCTGGTTTCTCATCTGCAGGTATGCTTGGGATTATCTGGTACATGTTTTGGCTGCTGCAGGCGTATGAGTGCCCAGCAGCTCACCCAACCATATCCAATGCGGAGAAGACCTACATCGAGACAAGCATTGGAGAAGGGGCCAACTTGGCCAGTCCGAGTGTAAGTACAGACGGAAGGTAAAGTCTGGGCACTTTCCCACATGTTTCTCTTTAGGATTGTGTTATCTTCTTGGTGGGGGAGGGTGTCCCTGCAAACACTGCAGCTGGCAGAGGAGTGATCCATGAAAGGCAAGAAGGAAATCCGGTTTGGCACAGTTTAGTTAGTTAGTTCAAACTTCTAATGTCTGACATTGTGCAGCTTATCGTAGACCTGTTAGACAGGACCATTTTGGAAAAAGGTTTTCTGGTAGCAATTATCTTAATACCGTGTGTGCAATAAAGCCAAAGGTGTGACTACGTGGGAACTCTTTTTGCAAAGTACACGTGACCTCTACCATGAAGATGGGTTGTGTGGCTTAAGGGACTAGGATCTGGTGTGGTCTTAGTCATACAGATAGCGCTGAAGTTGCTGGGCTCTAAAGTACAAGTGACATCTTCCTAAAGGATGGGTTCTATTGATTGAGAAGCAACGCTCAAGACAACGGTCTAGGGAGGGAGAGTCTGTGATAAACATAATAGTCTGGGAGATTTGGGTGATGCCTGGCCCTACAGATAGCAAAGGCCACCAGGGTATTAACCACATCCACTCCCGGGCTCCTGGGTGGAAAACAGGTCTACACCATCCTGTCCATGGCAGAGACAAGCCCACATGCTTCATATTCCTGGTTTCCCTGTGTTTACCTGTGCTTACCTGTGAGCACAAGGACCTCGTGCTCTGCGCACCTCCTTACAGAAAGAAGAGGTCAGTGTCTTCACTCAGTAGCTCATGGTCTTTTTCGCCCCCTAGAAATTCAACACCCCGTGGAGACGGTTCTTCACATCGCTGCCTGTCTATGCGATCATTGTGGCAAACTTCTGTAGAAGCTGGACCTTTTATTTGCTCTTAATAAGCCAGCCCGCCTACTTTGAAGAGGTCTTTGGGTTTGCAATAAGTAAGGTAAATATACAGAGGCTTCTGATGCTCTTGAGCTGGCCGAGAATAAGCGTTACATGATAAAATAATTAAAATGGCTGTCACTCACAAAGTTCTGGGATGCCTAGCATCCTAGAGCTCAGACAATAGTCTTACGTTTTAATTTCTTTTTAGTATGGATCAAACATGTATTAATTTAAAGACAATGCCTCTTAATCTGATCTCAGGATACTTCTGAAACTAATGCAAACATTAAATATTAGTTTGAAGGTAAACATATTTGATGGGGTGGGTTTTTCTCTATCTAAACCTCTCATTATGGGCTAGTGAGTTGGCTCAGCAGACAAAAGGCTTACGTCTATAACTGGAGGTTTCTTTCCTACCCACCAATTCCCAAATAACCACTCTGAGGCTTACTTAATATTAATTACAAACTCTTTGGCCTGTTAGCTCAGGCTTATTATTAACTAGCTCTTACAACTTAAATTACCCCATTTCTATTATTTCATATTTGACCATGAGGCTCGTGGATTGTTACCTCATGTCTTGCTTTTCCAGTGGCTGCTGGCATCTCCCTGTCTCTGCCTTTTTGTTTCACTCTGTATCTCTTTTTGGATTTCCTGCCTGGCTCTATTCTGCCTGGCTATTGGCCAAATCAGCTTCTTTACTAACCAATGGTAATAAAACATATTCACAGCGCACAGAGGGGCATCCCCTATCAATGGTCAAGTGAGATTACTTAGGTTTGGTCCCCAAGACTCAGATGGTAGAAGGAATGAATCAGTTCTTGTAAACTGTCCTCTGACCTCAGCAATGTATGCTATGACCAAACCCCTTACCCCAAAATAAATAAATGTAATAAACTATTCATTATGTAGCAGAAAGAACACTGAGACTAATGTTTCAGACCAGCCTCCCCATTTTTTTCGTTATGGTGCATGTAGCAGTAACAATAGTTGTTTTGGCTAGTTTAGAATCTTCTTGTCTCCAGTCATTGTCATGGGGTTGCCTGTGTTTTAGGGAGGAAACAACGTAATCAACATGAAACATGAAAGCATCCTTTCCTCAAGAGAAAGAGCTGCAGCCAGGCACAGGTAGATGTCCAACTCGCTGCAAGCATTATTAAGCAGAGACGGGAAGAACCAGCACAGTAGTGTGATCATGGAAACCAAGTCCGATTTCCCTCCGCTAGGCCTTATTCTGGATACCGGGGCCTTGTGATGAGTCAGAGTTGTCTGTGGGCCGATGAGTCGGGTAGAGAGGACAGCTGGTCCATACACAGAATCATTCTCTGCGTTCATTGCTTAATGGCCATGAAGTTCAGACCTCCTGAGGTTCCGCATTAGATAATTGAACTTGGTAATGGCTGTGGGGCTGTGCAATGGGGGTGAGCAGGGACTTGTAAAGACCTCTCAGTAGAAGTTAAGTTGGGATTTTGCTTCTTTGTCTCCCAGGTGGGTCTGCTGTCAGCCGTTCCACACATGGTGATGACAATTGTGGTACCTATCGGAGGACAGCTGGCTGATTACTTAAGAAGCAGGAAGATTTTAACCACAACCGCCGTCCGAAAGATCATGAACTGCGGAGGTAGTGTGCACTCCAAAGACACGCCAATGGTTCCTTTAGGATTAGAGCTAACAGAATAACAGAGCCTACATTAGAGCCAGCCCAGACGTTGTCTCCCATCTAAGTTCTAACTCAGCTGGGCCCTGCTTAGCTTCTGAGATTGGGCTTGTCAGGCTCAGTCAGGCTGAGTCTAGGCATTGGAATGGATCTTGAAGACCTGAGTCCATCTCCTTGTAGATAGTTGAGGGTTGCCCGCCATATACCTGCCACGTGGTAGGACAACTTAGTTGATGGATGATGGATCAGGACACACTTAAAACCCAAGAAACACTTCTTCCTTCTATTCTCAAGCCAAAGTAATATAACTTCTGGTAATGTATTTGCCTGTTACTTGTCTTTTCCATAATTCTTCCACTTACTATTTGCTCACAAGGCTTATTTCCTCCTTCTCCTCTTCCTCTTCCACTTCCTCCTCCTCCTCCTCTTCTTCTCCTTCTTCTCCCTCTCCTCTCCTCCTCCTCCTTCTCCTTCTTCTTCAACTTATGTGTACATACATGTTTGGGTAACACACAAAGGACAAGTGATTATTAATGAGGTACATGAATACCATCCCCTCAAGTGAACTCAGGCTCTTATGCTGTGCAGAAAGTACCGGACCCACAAGCAATCTCTCTACCTCACAAATCTACAATTTTAAAGGCATGATGCTTTACCCTTTGGTGGTACCCATAAGATATCAATCTAAAATAAATATTAATGCTTTGACCGTCTCTTTAGTAGTTTTGAAAAAAACATGAATTTAGAAAATCAATTAACAAGATTTCATTCTTTCTATACAAATATTTTTTTTTTTCGAGACAGCGTTTCTTTGTAGCTTTGGAGCCTGTCCTGGAAATAGCTCTTGTAGACCAGACTGATATCTCAAACTCACAGAGATCCGCCTGCCTCTGCCTCCTGAGTGCTGGGATTAAAGGTGTGTGCCACCACTGCCTGGCCAAAAAAAATTCATTTTAAAAGTTATTTTTGGACAATTTCACACAAATGTATAATGTATTTTGATCAAACTCATCCTAATTCCCTCTTTTATTCATGCCTCACGTCTCAGAAATCCTTCTGCTTTCTAACATGCCTTCTTTTTCACATCTTTTTCAAAGATTCTGCTGAGTGTGATTATGGTTGCTTACATGTGTATGGGTGTGAGTTGTTTGCTGGACCATGGACAACTTGCTAGCAGCTAGAGTCCTGAAGAAAAACGACCCCCCTCTCTCAGAAGTCATGAATTGCCTGTAGCTTTTCAGTCAGGACCACCCCTCCCCACCTACGTTGGAATGTTGACTGGCTTGAGCTTGTGAATACATTGTGCATGTAGCTTGAGCTGGGCCCAGTTTATCCGTGCAATGGCCACAGCACGTCCAGAAGACAGTGTTTCCCAGTCCTCGTCCTGCTCCTCCAGCTCTTGGGTTGTTTTTATTTTTTGTTTGTTTGTTTTGTGTGCCCTCTTTTCTGTTACGTTCTTTGAGACTTGTGTTGGGGTAGGTGGGGTGTGACATACTGAAAAGCAAAAAGCTTTTCTGACAAAACCCAGCACTAACCTGTGGCTATAAGCATGAAACAATACAGCCTGGTAAAATGTCCATTTTGCAACGCCCCTGTAATAAGGCCTATGAACTTCTTAGTGAAGTGCTTTGACTAGATTTATAGAATCAGATATAAATTTCCTCCTATGGAAGAGTCCTCAGATCTAATCAGGGAGTGCTTTGTTATCTCTATAGCATTAATGGCACTTTGCACCAGTAGGTGGGTTTTACCTGGCAGGCCTTATTGCAGTGTGTGGGCTCCACTGCTGGATAAGACCATTGATGGCTCCCCCCTCCCCAATTGGCCCAGAATACAACTTTGTATTTTTAATGTTTATCTCATTATCTTTCCTTGGCACCAATTAATTGTTACTTATTCAGTACCTGTTACGTGCTAGCTTGATTCTGTCTTAAGAGTGTAGTTTTAGGATGGGGAGATGGGTTAGTGGGTAAAGTTCTTGTCATACAAGTGTGAGGAGCAGAGTTCAGATCCCTCTCACATAAAAAAAAAATTAGCTGGGCAGGCATGTCTGTTTGGCAGAGGATCCCTGAGGCAAGCTGGCAAGCTAGAGTAACTGAACTGTGGACTCTCACTGTCCAGTGAGACAGCCTGCCTCGGTCAGTGGAAAGTGATCTAGGAATACACCCAGCATCAGCCTCTGGGCTCCACATACCTGTGCACGTGTGTGTGCCCACAGTCATGTGAATACACACGGATGTGTGTGCATGCCTTGTGCAAATCATATACACACATGCCAAAAAGAATACAGTCTTGTAAGCTGGGTGCTGTGAAACACACCCGTAGTCCTAGCACCCAGGTGTTGCAGGCAGGAGACCATCAGCTCATCTTAGGCTACCTTTTAAGACCTAGTCCCACCTAGCTTGTCTAGCATGTGCAAAAATGTACAAATTTGTAGCAGAGATAAAATGCAAATGAAATATTTATAAAGCATTATTGATAAGTTCTAGAAAATAGGAGAGAAGGAATAGGAGAAGGGAGGAAGCTGGCTTTAGGGGTTAAGGATGCAGTGGGTTGGGAAGCAGCCAGAGTGCTGTGTTGCCTCTACACAGAAGGCTGCCTTTAGGATTGGGGGGAGAAGAGAGGTGAGGCTGGCAGAGAGGGAGCTAGAGGAGCAAGAAGCGCCATCACTAGACAGCGCTACCAGTGCAGGGCCGTTGGCAAACGCACAGAGTCCTACGGTTTAGGAAAACTTTGTGGCAAATGCATCAGATGAAGTCAAAGAGCGAAGGTTACCAATCAGGTTAATTGATGCAGGTGACAGGGGATGGAGCCCAGAATAGAGACGAAGGCAGAGATGGAGAAAGCAGAAGTAAGATTAGATAGTGACTTCTAAGGCTGGAGACACCTACTTGTATGTGAAAACTGAAGATTGAAGCCTGCAGTGGTTCTGAAGTCTCTGCTGGGCTGTCTGATGACCACAGAGGCACCCATGTGCAGCTTCAATGTCTTGTATTCCTTTCCTTTTCCAGTGTTCCTTGAGGCTGTCTGACTAGCTCTGCTTTTTAACATGAGGAGTTGAAGCGCTAGGATAAACTATTCCAGGGTGACACGAGGCATGGTTTTGAGGCAGACTCTGAAGTCAGGCTTTCTGACTCCATAGTCTAAGCCCTAAATGCGGCTAGGCTGGAGACTAATCAGAGACAGGGAGAAAGAAGTGGGAGGGGTGGTGTGCTTTGGGTTCTTAGGCGTGAAAACAAGAGGAATGGACACTCGGTTGGTCATGTTGCCCTGAGAGTAACTGTAGGACCATCGCGTGGAGATGTGTGGACTGAGCAGCTCGTCTTCAGAAGTCTCCAGAATGAAGCCTCCTCTCTAATTATCCCTCACCCTTGGTGGGCTGCAAGTGGTATTTATGTCATCTGTCTGTCTGCTGTTAGATGAACAATCTAATCCTCTCTCTCTCTCTCTCTCTCTCTCTCTCTCTCTCTCTCTCTCTCTCTGTCTATCTCCCCACCTGACTGAGGATCTTTTATTTCAGGCGATTATTACAGTTTCTGTTTTTAGAAGAAAAATATCAGATGAGTGTTGTCCTGTTATTTTATGTAGAAGGCCACAACTTACGTAGACACAAGGGGTCACTGGCTGTCTAGACAGCATTCAGACTGGCAGGAGCAACTTCCCAAGGATTATCTACTCTTTTCTCTCATCCTGGGGTTGTTTGTTCTCGAAGGTACCTCAGGGTATGGTAGAAATTTCACAGAACACTGAGGTAATAGCATAGTCATGCAGTCATGAGTATTGGGGAATACCGTAGATTATCGAGCTAGGATGTGTGCACTGAAAACTGCGCTTTATGATATGTGGGTTCATGTGCCAGGTCAATAGCTTTGGCAGACTGACGGGCATATGACGCTTCTTCTGTTTCTATTTGCAGGTTTTGGCATGGAGGCAACCCTGCTTCTGGTGGTCGGCTTTTCCCACACCAAAGGAGTGGCTATCTCCTTCCTGGTACTGGCTGTAGGCTTTAGTGGCTTTGCTATTTCAGGTAAAACATCTTCCGGGTTTCTGAATTGAGTATGGAGATTCACTAAGTCTTAGGAGGGAGGAAGGACAAAGAAATTGTCCTTCATTTAGTAGCCCAGGGATTCCCAAGGGACAGGAGGGCCACGGCACAGTTTCACCAAGTGGGGTGACATAAAATCCACCAGGGATGTGCTTAGACCCCATTAGAGCTGGGGTTGTCCCTCTTAACTCCACCAGAGGAAAATATGTAAGTGCAGCTGATTTCCCTGAGGCAAAAGCAGAGGCCAGGCATGTGTCCCAGGCTAGTCCCCAGTTCACCCTACCTGGCAGACTCACTTCCTTTTAAGGGACTGCTCATTCTAGCTCAATGGCCAGGTTATTTGACTCTTGGTCACAAACATAGTGAGCATTTAGAGTGATTTCTATAGCTTTCAAGGAGTTCTTGTCTACTTCATTGCTTTAATTTTCCAAACAAGAAGGTACAGGTCTGGAGTGGAGTTGAAGTTCCTCAGAACAAGTAGGAGTGATGATGATGATGACGATGATGATCATGATGGTGATGATGATGATGGTGATGATGGTGATAGTGATGAAGATGATGATGATGGAGATGATGATGTTGGTGATGATGATGATGGTGATGATGATGATGATGATGGAGATGATGATGATGGTGATGATGATGGTGATGATGATGAAGATGATGGTCACGATGGTGATAATGATGATGATAGTGATGATGATGATGATGATGATGAGGGCTTACTGTGATCAAGCATAGATTCAATTCTGAGGACACTCAAAACCCTTTGTGTATTATTCACACAACTACCCCGGGGTAGGGACATGGGCAGGGACAGCCTGGCAATGTCGAGCCAGGCCTTTTTGGTAGAATGTCCATTAAACATATCCTAGAGAAGATCAAACTGATCCATGTGCCGTGGGGCAAGTCACACAAGGGGTATTAGGAATTCTGTTCTCAACTCTGATACTGGGGTTCTGGCTTTACCATAGGTTTTAATGTCAACCACCTGGACATTGCTCCACGCTATGCCAGTATTCTCATGGGGATTTCGAACGGAGTGGGGACCCTGTCTGGAATGGTTTGCCCCCTCATTGTCGGAGCCATGACCAAGCATAAGGTAACAATCTGCTCTGTGGCTGTGAGCTACACTATTAGGGTAGAAGCACTGCCCAAACTTGAGATCTCAGTGACGTTCTCCAGAGTGTAAGTGTGTGGCCTTGTCCTTGGAGCCTGAGATCTCAGTGACTTACCCCAGTGTGTAAGTGTGTGACCTTGTCCTTGGCTGAGTCTTGGACAACTGCCTTCTTCTCTTCTTTCTTCTTCCTCCTTCCCTTCCTTCGCTTCTTCTGCTAGATCCTTTATTGATGGCACCGGAGCTGATGGTAATCTAGTTCCACATCTTCTTAGCTGAGAAATAAATGTCTGGAGGAGAGAAGTAAAGGCTGTGGCGATTGTTTAGAGATACAAAGAAACTCAGGCAGCCAGCCCAGAATGAACACTTTATTTCAGATTACTGTATGATTTTAAGGGCTAGACCTGGATAGCCCACTTCCACCCATTACTAGACTGTCACACATAAAGTAGTAGTGCTGTGTGCCTCCTTGTTTAGGAGAAAATAAACGAGGCATTAGTGACCTTTCTTAAGAACCACCTCGGCCAGCCTTGATGCAAGGGGAGGAGCTTGGTCCTGACTCAACTTGATGTAAAGCCTGCCCCTTTCTGAATAAAGATGAGGAGGAGTGGGGAGGGGGGGCAGAAGGAGAGGAGGGAGGGAAAACTGCAGTCTGTATGTTAAATAAGTGAAAAAATGTAATTTAAATAAATGAAAAAGGACCCACAAGAGAGCAGAGAGCAAGGGAGATGATTCAGAGGCTCAGAGCGCTTGCGGCTCTTTGAGAGGCCCAGGGTTCTGTTCCCTGCTCCCACATGGCTCACAATCATTAGTAACCCCTGGATTACATCCAGATCCCCTGGAGCTAGTGGTACAGATGGTTGTGAGCTACCTGTGCATGCTGGGAATTGAAGTTGGGCCCTCTACAAGAACGTCCAAACACACTTAGCCACTATACCCGCTTCTGGTCTCCATGGTTACCAGGCACACATGTGTTACACAGACAAAACACCCATAAACAGAGTATACAAAGCCCTGAATCTTCAAGGATGTGGTACTTAGTTTTCACTGGACCTTTGTGGCTTTTAAACTTATTTTTATCTTTAAAATTGTATTTATATTTGGCCTATGTGAGTGAATGTTTTGCCTGCTTGTGTATATGCATGCCACATACATATCATGGAAGCCAGTGGGGGGCATCGGATGCCCTGGAACTGGAGTTAAAGATACTTATGAGCTACCGTGTGAGTGCTAGGAACTGAACCTGGGTCTTCTGTAAGGACATTCAGGGCACTTAACCCCCCCTGAGCCATCTCCTCAAGCACTTGTGACCTGTATTTTTTACATATTTATTTTGATATGTAGTTTATATTAAAAGGGCATTCATGGTCGTCTTTCGTTTTCAAGTACTCAAATTAAGAGGAGATTCTGGATGTTGAGTCTATCATATGTCTACCCAGAAGCCCAATGTAGCCTTTGAGATGTTTTTATCTCAGTGGAGGACTTTAGGGCTCTCTGTCAACCTCTGTTTTCGCTTAAAATAGTAACTGAATAGTAACCGGATATATCCTTTGTTAGACCCGCGAGGAGTGGCAGAACGTGTTCCTCATAGCCGCCCTGGTCCACTACAGCGGTGTCATCTTCTACGGGGTCTTCGCTTCTGGGGAGAAACAGGACTGGGCTGACCCAGAGAGTCTCTCTGAGGAGAAATGTGGAATCATTGACCAAGACGAATTAGCCGAGGAGACAGAACTCAACCACGAGGCTAGCGCTAGTCCCAGAAAGAAGATGTCGTACGGCGCCACCACTCAGAATTGTGAGGTCCAGAGGAGCGGATGGAGGCAGCAGAGGGAAGCGGCCTTCGATGCCTTCGAGGGGGAAGAGGCATTGTCCTACCAGAACGAGGAAGGCAGCTTCTCAGAATCATCTTAACGCCCACTTTCTCTTCAGCTTACCACCGGAGATAACCCATTCCCATTGCCTTTCCCATACCTCGGCTTGCCAGGGGGCCAAATCATGGGACACTGGAGGTAGCGGGAGGAGGAGATTAAGTCAACAGCAGAGAACAGAGAAACACCTTCTTCCAGAGATAGGAACGTAACTATTGCTCTCAGTTGATAAAACAATTGATTGTATTTTTTGCAGGGTTGGGTAATTGAGGTGGATGTTGGCTGTTGTGCCTTCTCTCGAAGAACTAGTTACTCAGAAATTGCTAGAAGTCTAAAGAGTAGTTTGCTGCTCAAATAAACATTGAAATAAATCCCTCTTTGGCCTAGGGAAGAGTACATGGTAGGTGTCACCCTGTCTCCTAAGATACCCGTCAGAGGAAAGTTTCCTCAACCCAACGAAGGGAACCACTCACGGAGGCCCTCTGTTGTGCCAGGTGCTTTATGGACATGAACATACTTATTTGACCCCCCCATCCTATTACATATAGATATTGCACCCATTTTACAGCTAGGGACACTGAAGAAACAGAGTGACCCACCCAAGGTCATCTTCTTGGGGCCAAGACTGACACTGGCAGATGACAGGGAGTTTTAGGAAGAGGGGTCCAGCTCAGTGTGGGGACTTTTTCCGTGACAAAACCTGGGTCAGCTGTTATCTGGGTAATTCCATATTTGGTCAAGGGTGTGTGTGTGTGTGTGTGTGTGTGTGTGTATAGACTAATGTGGCAGCGTGAACTCAAATAAATAAAGCTAAGCAAGCTAGCTCAATTTCCAGAAATGATTTAAAAGAAGTATACTAAGAGTTGGCTATTAAATTAAAAACCCTCTACAGTATCAGAAATGTGGTTCAATAGTGTCCCGAGTTAAATTTAACCCCATAAAACATTTAATAATCTAAGAACTAGACTCAGGAGAGTTTTAGCCACTCGGCTCTTGAAAAAAGTCTTATTTAAACAAAAGTGTGTCACCAGCTTTCCCTGCCTGTGGGTATAATAGGAAGTGTGGCCAGATGATAGGAAATTATGCTCAAAATATTCAGAATGTCTGTACTTAGAATGTTCATTAAAAATAAAAAGATACAGTAGTTTCGTCGAGAAATGCTACAGTCAGAATGTCCAAGACAAGCAGGCCTGTAACTGGTGTTGAAAAAATTCACCTGCAGTCGTGTTAGGCAATGGAATGGGTACTTCCACACATAATTAAAACTGCAGTGTTGGCATGTAAGAGGCTATTAGAAAATAAAATGATTTTTCTGCTCCTTGGTTTCAAAAATTGTTGATATTTTCAGAAGGAAACTTAACATGATAAAATACAGATTTACTTGTATATTAGTGTATAATATTTGTTCTCTAGTTTTTCCCATTTCATTTCTGGTCCCTTGTTAGACTTATGGAACTATAATGTACCTTCTAGAAAGTCTAATGTTAGATATTAAAAGAGAGTGGCTGACTTCCCGTTAAATAATATTCTTTCTGTTATTTGTACATAATTTGTGTTATCAGATGTTGTTAAATCTCCTTATTGTGTGAATCCATGTAAGTCTCCTAGAGGAGTCCCAGGCATGAAGGAGTTCTCAAGAAATAGCTGTCCCATCCTCATCACCTTAAACTCTTGTGTGACCATGTCACTTGTAAAGAAAGAAGTTGTGTTATTTTATTCATTGGCCACAGAGTGTATAATGAAAATTGCACTGTTTTCTAAGTAAAAAAAGAAAAGAATAACTAGTGTTTATTTCTCTATGTGTTAATAAAGCATAGTAATTCCATGTATGAAAAAGCCTCATGATGATCATGAAGGCAATGTGGTAGATTATGACGCAATCCACAGTTAGTGTTGACATCATGCAGAGACACTACATTTTGCGTATAACTTGCACGTGCAGTAAATTTTTTAATGGTGGGCTGGATCATGCCATTAAACATTATAAAACATGTTGCCTTGTAGTGATCTTCTTTCCACTCACATGTTGCACGGGGTCATTAATTTCCCTTAAACAGCATCGACAAGCTACGGCCATGGGTTTCTGTGCATTTTGCCCTTGGAGTGTATTTGTGAAGTTACCCTTTGGAGGCGGAGTGTTGATTCCAGTAGGAGGGGTCCTGAGGATGCTGGATTACTGAAATAAAGTCTGGATCGCACTTTTTCAAACAATCACAGTTTGGGCTATTCTTCAAAGTGAGAATAAGAATTAATAATGTTTTAAACTCAATGGGCTCTTGTTATATTTCCTTGGTTGCTAAATCCAATATGGAGCCCAGTATTTCTGTTTCATACTGCGGGCTCTCAAACTCAACAAACTTGCTTTCTTTTTGTCTTTTCTCTGTTAAAAATGTCATTATTCAAGCTAGAACTCTCAGAGCTGTCCTTGACTTTAGAAAATTTCCAGAGTTTTCTCTTTTCTCTACCAAATTTCTCTGGTTTATTTTTCCATCTATACTTCCATGTCTGACACAGTTTTGGAAAATCGTCTCTCAAGATACTGCTTTATTTTTAAAAATTATTTGCGTATATTAATTATTTATAACAATGGGTTTCATTGTGTCAGTTTCAGTAACACACACATACAGGGCCTTTTACTCATCTTCACCCCCATTACTTTGATTATACCCCCTTTTCAAATGATATTTATAGTGTATTAGTGGAAAACACCAGAACTTATTTATTTTATATCCATATATCAATTTTTTCTCATTAATTATGACACTTTCTACTCATGTTTGTGTAAAATGCCAATTTCCCTTTTATGAACATAAATAAAATTACTAAAGTGACAGATAATTAAACATAAAAATTTACCGATATAGATGCCACCATATAAAATACATTATGAAAATACAGAAATCACTTTGGAAAATTCTTTTGAAAATGATGTCTTGAATATTTTATTTTTTAGGGTACCTTGAGCTCCTTCCCAATGCCGATTTGCTGCTGACAAGTTCACTCTAGTGCAGGCTCCATGGGTAAGCACAGTGATTGAATTCCTGATTGGGACAGCTGGTCTGCCCATCAGACAGCATTCCATAGCCCCTTCTCCCATCATCTGGACCTTACAATCTTCCTGCCCCTCTTGTACAGTGCCTCGTGTGTTTTGGAAGAGGTGGTCTAGATCTCTTCATGGTTGAGCTCTCCATCTTCGCTTCCTCTCTGTACCTTGCACAGCAAGGTGTCTTCGTGTTCACTGCAGAGATGAGCCTTTTTGATTAAGGTTTACAGCAGCATTTGCCTATGAGTATAAACTAAATAAAGATCTTTTTGAATATCGTACTTAGAGCCAATTCACGTTGCCAAGAAGATGTTTGTACTGGTGCGGTAGTGGCATCAGTATTTAGGGAGTAACCAACTGCTTTCTGATTGGTTTTGAGAGCAGCTCTATAGTCAATATATTATTAATATCTAGGATATACAAGCAACTAAGAACAAAAGCATCACGAAACAACTCATTACAAAAATGAGCCATAGCTCTGAGGAGGGTTCTGAAGAGAAGAAATGCAAATGGCTAGTAAACATTTCACCAGCCAGCCGGGCAATGAGAACCCAAACAAACCACCTTGTCCTCAAGAAATGAAAAGGAGCAACTGTTAGTGAGGATGTCTGCAGAAGGAACCCTTCTCGCTGCCCGTGGGAATAATGCTCTATGACCTTGGGAGTCTTAATATTCACTCTGTAGTCAACACTAATCTTCAACACATAGCAATCCTCCTGCCTCAGTTTCCTAAACGCCAGGATAAGAAACATTCCCCATCACCTCTAGCTCCTTAATTTACAAATGAGATTAATTCATTTTGGGTTGGAAATGTGGCTCAGTGTTAGGAACGTTTACTACTCTTGCATCACTTGATTCCAGTGTGTACCCAAGCAAGATGACCAACATTCCAGGGTAGTGATGCTCAACCTGTGGGTATCCATCTCTTTTGGAGCAGGGGGTCGCATATCCGATGTCTTGCATATCAGATATTTTTCATTACAGTTCATAATGGTAGCAAAATTACAGTTACGAAGTATCAGTGAAATAATTATGTGGTTGGGGGCCACCCCAACACCAGGAACTGTATTAAAGGTCACAGCATTAGGAAGATTGAGAACCACTGCTCTAGGGAGATAATGTTAATGTCTTTGAGAAATTAATGCAAAATCCCCTGAGGGACTGGGGATAAATAGCCATAAAGACGGGATAAACGCTACTACTTAAATAATTGCTCGAAATAGGCCTATTTATATAATCAAAGCGAATCTTGATTCTCTCTGGATTAAATGATTACGCCCAGCACGAGTACACTTTTTACTAATTACATGACTTTTGTGTTTTTTTTTTTTTTTAAACAAAATAGCTTTTTGTGTTTTAAGAGTTCCACTTGTTCAAAGTTGTTTCCAAGAGTTCATGGCCAAAGATCATCAGTGAATCTGCATTTTTAAGGATGATGCAATGCTTCCTTGGTTATTTCACCCTCGTGGGATCAGAGAACTGCGGTGTTCACGGATGCTTCCTTTTAAAACTCTTCTTTGGGAGTCAATTTCATAGCAATCCTGATATAAATATTACTCTGATTGTTATCAGAATTTTAAAATCCTTTGTAGGAATGGGGCCGAGACAAATGACTCTTTTTTTTTTTTTTCTAGCTTTTGTAGTGGTTTGACTATGCTCGAGAGGAGAGCTTGCTCTGAGCAGGAGAGTTTCTAAGGTCCATTGTTTCAACACAGCCACGTGAGCTGCTCTTTCTCTCTGATATATATATGTATATACATATATATAATTTTAGAGCTGCTGAAGACTATGCGTCTTAAAGATGAATTCATCAGCGTATTTGAGACAGCAGCGCTGAGGAGCTGTATGTTATGTACCAGTGCATGGTGAACTGGCTCTAAGTCTCTCTGTTTTCAGTGTGCAAACCTATTTACTTGCTCACAGTTCTCTGGGTTGGAAATCTGGGCTGTGTTCAGCGAGATGGTTCCTCCACTGGCCTGCCCTGGACCCAGTCCTGTGACTGTAGCCAAGTGCTGGGATTAAAGGCGTGTGCTCCGCTGCCCGGCTCACTCACATTATTTCAGTGTGAGCAATGTGAGTTGATAGGAGTTTGGTTTGTTTCTACTTTTTAGACATTTTATATAAACAGTGCTTAAACCCTGCCTCTTTAAGAAAGCCTTTGACAACTGTTTCATGGACCCTTTTCAATACCTTAAGGATGTGTTAGAAATATCTCCCTGGGTCCCCACAGTTATTAGAAGGATGTTATTAAAAGAGAAGATTATGGGGGCTTGGGAGGTGACTCCGTGGTTAAGGGTACTTGCTTTGCAAGTACAATGAGTTTGAATTTCCAGAACTCATGTAAAAAGCTGTGCGTAGCTGTGCTTGCTTGTAACCTCAGCTCTGGCTGGGCAGGGGCTGAGGCAGGTAGATACTGAGGACAGAACTACCGAGAGCTGGATCCTGAGAGCTTGTCCACCGGTTAGCCCCAAAGAGCTCTTGGTTCAGTTAAAGACCCTGCCTCGAGGCAATGAGGCAGAACAATAGATGAAGACAGGGGGGTCCTGCTCTGGTCTTTGCATGGCATGTGCACACAAGGGTACATGCAAGCATGATTGTACAGACCACACACACACACACACACACACACACACACACACACACACGAAGGTCGGGTTATGCTTTATTTTTTTTTTTTTATTTTCCTTAAAAACCTCCCAATGGTTTTCTTTTCATCCAGAGTAAAAGCTGGTCCTCACCACATCCTCAGACCCTTCCCAGTTGATTCTGACTCCATTTCTTTGGGTTTCTCCGGCACATTATTTTCCTTGGGCTTCTATTTGATGCTCAAACATATGCCTGTGCTCCCCTTAGGGCCTTCCAGTACATATCCCATCTTCTTCTCGAGAACGCAGAGCACGTGGAGGGGAGCGATCCCTTGTGTGTTGCCTTTACTACTACATCTATGGCACATAGAATTGTGCCCAGCAGAATATGCAAAATGACTGAGTGATCATGTTTCTAAACCGACTGGCTGGCTGGGACTATATAAAACTCCAGCTTTGTTTGTGCTTGGCTGGAAGTGTGGCTGATCAAGAGTCCTAACGAGTATAGGTCTTTGACCAGGCCCATCAATTAGACCTATTAAAAAAAAAAAAACAGAAATGATTTTGTAACACATCAATGCATTTGGTAGGGAGAAAAGGGTTGGAAGCCTGGGATTTCTGTGGGGGAGATGGCGGGGAAACAAAGGGGTGCCTGGTGATGAGAAGTTTCGGGTCAGCTGCTCTGCATTTCCAGCTAAGAGGGTCTTGGGTAATTACTGAGAAGTTCCAGGAAAAGACACTTCATTCTAGATAAGCGTTCATCAGCACATACCATTTGCTGGGCTGTTCAAAGGTTCTTGTCGCAATTCATTTTGGCAGCTCTTGTCCTAAACTGAGGCAGCAGAGAGTGGCAAAGGTTTTATTTATCTCCCGTTATTATCTGTTGACTTTTGAAGGGCTGAGTGATGGACAGCTATAGATTAGCTAACCTATCAGGAAGGGTGAAGCAATGACTTGGGAGGCCCAAGGTCCTGTCAGCCCCCTTTTCATGAAACAGCTGTCTGAACAGTGACCAGGGAGCAGAAGAACAGACTCAAGACCTCTATAAAGTAGAGTTTGGCTGAGGTAAACAGGAATTGCTGGTTTGAGAGACTGAATGCTAACTGTTCTCAGTTCAAAGCAGACCTTTGGCACTTTCGTGTCAGTACAGCCAGCGATGAAACCTGATGAGACAGGTTTGATCATTCCCATGTAACAGTCAAGAGATGACGACACATGGTGGTTAAACCATTTGCCCAAGGTTTCAAGTACACGGCAGACCCAGCATCTTAGTCATGTTCGACTATGACAATCTTTGGCCTTTTTAAAAATGATGATGTGTCTATGTGCGACACTGTGTCCCAGTACCTGGTCATTTCAGTCCCTTGACTGTAGTGTACATCACCTGTCTGTGCGCTATGCGCTGCCATATAGTTTCCAAGCTTCGGGCAAGGGGTTGGAGGTTGAAACACACAGATACAGAGACAGACAGAGAGACAGAGAGACGGAGACACGGACCTCTAGTCACTGGTAAG